CTAATTACCATAAACTTTGTCACTAATTACATGTATTTAGCATAAAACTCATTCATAAAATTAGATTTCAATTACATTTCACTAAAAATATGTTAAACTTTATAATTATTGATTACTTACGGAATAACACCAAATGTAACACAATTTTGTGAAAGTAATTAAAATTCAATTTTTAAAACGATGTGTATATTAAAAATTGGAAGTGTTTTTCTAAATTATAAAATAATGTCAATATATTGTGTTGAACACAATCACAGCAATCTTTTATTATTAACGTAATATAGATTTTGTTTGACTTAATTTCACAAATATATTGATTTGTAAGCGAAACAAAACGCGTGAAAAGTCATGTATCGACAGAACTGGTCCGCAAAACCGTTGGCGTTAGAAATTGTCGTCCGCCAGAAGCCGGTGAAGTGAGGTTAGAGACGGACCAACTCGGACGGCCCGCCTGCGCGTCGTTCGGGTGCAGAAATGTGTGCTTTTGTGATTGTTCTGTTGGATTGGAGTTTGTGTTGGCATAAGTATAGTTGGAATCCGATTTCAAGTCATTTTTCTCGTTTATGTTCTCCACTAAAGTGGGCAAAGAAGTCCTGATGGCCTGATGTATATAGTTTTGTTGTATGATTTTAGTCAATATGTCGGGCAGGGCTTCCATTTGATCGAAAATCAACGATATTCTGTCCTCTATTGAAATCATTTTCTCGTCTAATATCTCTTGTCTCGCATTTATATCCGACACAATCTCATAGACATTGTTTTGCAACTAAAAAATGGGAACATCTATTTTAATTCAAATCTTTCATCCGTTTTCACTTTCCTTTCCTTTATATCACTTATAATAAAATCTAATCATTATTTTCAAAGTTTTAGTATTAGTTTTTTTTTGTTTAAGTAAAAGTTTGCTTTTGTAACTATTTTATCGATAAAATGAATGCATTGTAAAAAGAGTGCATTTTAGGCATTTATATAATTTAATGATGCGATCAATTGTCTTACTTTTGCCATATCAGTGATGGTGTTTGCGTTGTCCATGAGCTTCCTTTGATCCATTTTCACTTTTCTAAGGCTATAAATCAAGTCAACAAAAGTTTGAGTGTGTTTTTTCGTATAAATAGATTTAGATAATTATATAAACATTATGTTCGGGTTATAATGTATATAAGTTGAATATCAATACTTATAATCAATTCATATATACCTATATATGGCTAATAAAAACTTTCTTTGATGTGTCCGCACTCGCGATGTATTGACTTTTTTAGTGAGTTTAGTATTCTTATAGATAAGCCACGTCTCTCTCAATACATTCGCCGCCGCATTCTTAAGCCTTTTGGTGAGCTGTGTATCCATCATAAAGTTGTGGACATGCTTTTCAGCTCGTGATAACTCCAACTTTCTAGCGATTACGGCCACCACAAGAGCCGTACAGCCGGCGCCGATAAGTCCCGAACAGACAGCTATTCCGCGCCCGCAGTAAGTATTGGGAACGATATCTCCGTAACCAATAGACAAGAATGTGATGGCAGTCAACCACATGGTGTTCAATAGGTTGGCGTGTTCTTCGTCGTGATGTCGTTCGCATAACCTCATAGTCCAACTCCCTATTATCCATAGAGAGACCAGAAATACCATAAGGCAAGTGCCCGGACATATGGTCATCAAAGTCTTGAGAACGAAGCGAGTGTTGAAATTAATCCTATTTAAAGCGCCGATACTTCGAGAGGACGCGTCCGTAAATAGTTTGCTGTGTAATAACATCACTCGACAGATGAGGTATAGGCGCAAAAACATTGGTAAAGAGAGGGCCACATCGATGGGCACCTCTGCGTAACTGTATCGAGACATACCGCCCCGATTGGCCAGTTTTGTAGTCCACATGAAGCTGTACTGACCGGGAATCGGATGCATTGAACATATAACTAATTCCAATACAATCAGTGCTATCCTCTGGGATGTCATCGCTATCCTCCAGTCATCCACACAATTATCGATCATAAATAACTGCACTTCCAGTGAATGATAGGCCACAATAAGGCCCAAAAGCATTACTGTCGACACAGTTATTAGAGTTTTTACAGCATAGGAGTAAACCGAAGCCTACAATAAATTTAGATTATATTTTGTCAAATTCATTAAAATTCTTGAAATACTTTTACATAATAAAGTCATAGCAATTAATGTGCGCTCATAAAAATTAGTTGAATTGTTTTCAAATGTATTTTCAATTCTGTATCACTGATAATAATATCAACTTTATATTTAGGCTTAAGATTTAATTGAATTGTTTATTATTACACCTCACATAATATCAATATTTATGCTTAAAATGAAAAGTAATAAAGGAATTTGTCTTTATTTATCCATATTATGATCAAATAAATTTGAATTTAAGGCTTTGGTCACTCATTGTGTTATATGTTTGTATTGTTTATGAATTATCGTAAAAGTGTGAAAACTAACAAAACGTAAGCGAAATTGTTTCGTGACATTAATTTGGTCTTCAAAGACACAATAATCGTAAACAATTTGCGAAACCACACCAACTAAACACTAAAACTCGAGTGAATTAATAATTAACCGTTTTATAGCTAAAGTTATATTTGTGTTTAAATGTTATGGTTAACGGAAAGCCGCACTTAAAAATTGGGTCAAACTTTAAGAAATTTGGAGATGATTTTCCCGTTTTTTAGCCGACAAACCCTTAGTTTATAAACTCATTTTTATAACTTTTTGTCCACGTTTTTTATACAACAATAGGAAATGTGTGTTAAGAAATGATAACGATTTCACCAATTCCTAAAGTCATGGCATATACTTAGGGTATATTAGACTATAGGGACACATATTAGCGCCATTTATTTGCAATAATGATAAGCAAACTTATCATCATTATAATATATTTTGTAATAAAAATAAATTACTTCCAAATATAAATGAAATGATTTTTAGTGAAAATAATATATTCTTCAATTCTTTAGCAAATAAACTATTCTTTTTCTAAATTGCAATAAATTCTATGCAAAGGCAAACCCAAGTTTTGTAAAATTCTATCAAATTTTGGTTCAAACTGATTAAATATTAAATTTTTCATTTTATACAATGAATTTATCAAAAGTTTTAATAAACTTTTAAATGTACCTATAAATTACAATTTAATGCAACTCAGGAATTAGCGTTGTTTTAAATGCTAATCTTTCAGCGCCTAAAATGTGTATATTTTAAAACTACTATAAATCGTGCGAAACTAAAATTAGATTAAGTCATCGCAGGGTTTAAGACAAGATAATGATAAATCATATCATTATATTGTGACTCGTTATAGGATGGACTCCATTATTACTATAACAGGAGATCGTATATCACTATTTCAAATGCCCTTAAAATATAATACAAGTGCCGTATTCTCACAGGAATTTCCTAACACATGAAATGCACTTCACTTATGAAAAATTGTCATAAATATCGAAAAAGCAATTATTTTGTTTATAATCCAACTAAATATTAATACTATAATTTAGTTTGAAATTAATTTTTAAACGACAAATATAAAATTCATTCGTGTCGTTAATGTCATGAAAATATCAATTATATAATCATATATTTCGTAAAAATGAAATAAAGATATCGTTTCTAAAGAATTGAAAGAATTGAACAAAAAGTTGTAAAAGTAAATTATTTAATATATTCGCGATTGTAATGGAAATGCTTAACAATTCTTCAGTAGACTTAAGAAATGAATGCATATTCAATAGTAGAGTAACATTCAGTTTATATAATGTTTGTTTGTCTTATTGTTTTGTAGTCTTATGTGACTTCAGAGCCAAACAATAGCTATAAGACTAACAATACGGGAGACCGTAAAAGAAAGAATTACTCCATTTATAGGTTTTCTATTCGTATAAAATGAATTCAATTAAAGCCAGCGTTTATAAGTCACTTTCATAGCAGTCTCTTATGTATTTGAAAAACTTTTTTTGATTAAAATATTACGTATTTATGACATAATTATTTAAAGAGTCCTTAATATATGCCATTATTTTGAATTAAAGAAATTAAATTGAGAAATAACTCAACAAATATATCAATTTTTAATTAAATAAATTAAACAAACAGTTAACTGATGTATAGTTTGAATATATTATATAATCTTTGGAAATGGAATAATGTAATAAATAAAAGAATAATTACCTTATTGTAGATGCCAGAAGATGATAGTTCATTTTCGACAATCATGAGAATAATGCCGAGTAAAGCCATTATAAGAGTATAATCGCTGACTCTCTTTCGCTTTTCGAAGAGAGCTTTCCTTCGGCCCAATCTGTAGCCGACATTTGGTTTATGAAACCCCGACTTTCCAGACGAGCTCTTCTTCTTCTCGCTGTCGATGGAATTGGAGGCGAAAGACCTTTGATTGTATGGCTGTTCAGTGGACACATTCATGAGGATTGGGTTTTGTTCGTTCTCAGAGCCAATGGAACAGTTCTTTAGGGCATTAGTGATGGAAAGGGTGGAAGAGTTGATGGGTTTGCGAAGTTGTTTGAATGTACGCAACGCTCCATTGATTCTCATGGAGTCGGCGGCGATCTCTGCGATCTCGTTGTCCAGCATAGGTCGCAGTCCAGGACACGCACGAGGAGAACAAGTCGGCCCCACATATGAAGACCCAACTGCACAGCTTCCACAGGGAATATAATTAGCACTGGAATGACATATAGTGGCCATTAAGGGCTGAGTCTCGGATTGGGTGTTGAGAGTATGCGTCGATTGTCTCATCGATTCGCGCGAAACGGTTCTCGTGAGGAAACTGTGCTCCAGTCGTGAACTCATTACGTTTCGCGCATGACTTGGCCAGAGATGATGCTTCACTCTCGCGCCTCGAAAGTTAAAGACTCCGGCGTTTGCAACCACTGCACCGCTCGTCGCGTTTAGACCGCAACGACTCCCAACCTCTTTGTTTGCCGAACACATCAATGCATTCGCATTTCGGTTCAAACAGTTCTGGTCGTCTTCCAACTCCTTCTGTCGATTCTTCATCTCAGGCCTGATCTCAGGACACGACCTATGATTGGGATTAAATGACTGATCGTTTGGCAGTTCCAAGGGTTGGAACTCCACTAAAGGCAAAGACCTTTCGGGTTCTGAATGCATGCGTCCGAAGAGCATTGGATTGGCGTTGGGTTTCGGACATACAATTCCGTTATTATTGTCATTAGAGTTGGAATTATTGTTATTATTGTTATTATTGGTTGAACTGATGTTATCGTTAAGTATAAAACTCGGGGTAAGATTTGCGTTCTGTGTGTTGGCGTTGGGATTACAACTTCTCGTCTCTTCAGCCGGTGTTACCATCACTACTGACATGTTTTACCACTTCTTACTACTTATAAACTCTCATTCAATCGATAACACAGTTATTATTATTTATTACTATTATTAACATTACAAGCGATGGTTATTATATGAAATGCTTTTTGGGTTTGCGTTCACTTTATTGGCGTTTTTCCCAATTTTTGCGGAAAGTGTTGTGAAATATTGATTGTATAATAATATTCATTGAACGGGAATTTGAAATGCAATTCTCATATCAATTCTCATATGAAGTGTTCGTAAATAGAAAACGATATCAAGAATTGTTGGATTCTGTGTCTGAAATGTCACTTATTTGCATAACACAGACACGAGAGTGGCTTCACTGCACTGAAGACAATGCATTCAATACGTAGACAACACACACATATTCATTACATTTAATTATAATTTAAATTATATTCAAATTATTTGATGTAAAAATTGTGTTTATTTAGCATCTGTTGTGAGCGGAGGGCATGTCTTCAATGCAATTGACAGCTAAAGCATAGACTAATTGAAGGCATTGATGGCATACGCCTTACGAACCAGTGTTTGCTTATGTGATGCAAACAGATATTAGTTTTTGCGCACAAAATTGTTATGTCATATACAGTACTATTCACTATACCATACACTGTACGGCACGTACTCTACTCGCTATCCCTACACTACTATATCTATATATAAGTCTATTGTATCCTATTCTGCACTTTTCCTACAAATAAAATTAAACATTTTTTATATCAAATCCTATAAATTTCTCTTTCGCTCAGAAATTTTGGACAATTTTTAGAAAATTATTTATATTTTTAAATCTTGAAATCATATTCTACTCACTCTTCAGTTTCGTATTAAAGAATCGGATGAAGAGATAATCGGATGTATAAGAAAAATAATAACATGAATATAAATAGTCTGTTCAATGATTGGCACCAAAATAGTTGTCCCAATATTTGCATTAGAATAACAAATTTAAAGTACTCTTAAAGTGGATAATGAATCTAAATCGGGATAACTTTCGATGAGAACCATATGCTTCGTATTTATTGATGAAATCATTGTTTTGGTATAAATAGTTTTAAAATCTCACAAATTCTTGTCGTAAATATACAAGAATTAAGTTTTTATGAGTTTAGAAAAAAACATTCACAAAAAATAATTGACATAAAAGTCTAGATATACTTTATTTAATAGCATATCATTTACTACTTGGGCAGTAATTGTCTGCACATATTATATAAAATTGTTTTTGTTATCAAATTTAAATGAGTGCCAAAAATGTTGCTAAACACTGATGAAAGGCATATGAATTGGTGTTTGCGATAGAGTGCACAATTCAAATGTTATACTGAATTCACTTCAATAGCACCACATATTATACATACAATGCGCTCAAAAATAAGTATTAAAAATTGTACTCTAATAGAGAGTAAAGTACAGGTAATATGAAATGAATTTTATTATTGGAAGATTGCATCGACAGCTCTCACAAAGCCCTTAGAGAATATCGCGGAGTAGAGTCGAGTTATGTCGCGAAAAAGAGAGCAAAGGAGAGCAAAGGAGAGCAATACGAGAGAGAGAGAGAAAAAAGAGAGTCATAGACTATTTATATTCATGTTATTATTTTTCTTATACATCCGATTATCTCTTCATCCGATTCTTTAATACGAAACTGAAGAGAGAGAGAGAGAGAGAGACTTAAGTAACATATATATTATACAACAAACTATAGCTTATAATTTACGTTTACATTAAATTTGATGTATAGAATAGTAGTAAGAATTATATTATAAGGTTTATTGCTATGGAGACAAAGTATAAGTGGAAATCTGTTCACAATTCAGGTATCAATAGTCGACATGCTTTTCAGATGAAACACTAACTTTATATTTAATATATTTATAGACTAGTATAACGACAGAATTGAAACTTTAGCTCTACTTTAATACTTATTTTTTTGTTTAATAAATAATTTGACTTTTTTGCCAATAAATCTTTTCAGAAGACTATTAAAAATGTTTGCAAAGGATTGCCAAATAAAATTTTGTTATAAAAATTTAATGATTTTTATTGATTGACTCTCTTTTTTGTATGTGAAAATATGATATTTATTAATAAACAATCTATTTTAACTCAAATAACATTAAAATGTCAACAAATATCTATTTGAATAACACATATATTCATATTCCGTAAAAAAATTATGCAAACATTTGGATAGAGTGCACACATCAGTAAATATTGTCACAAAACATCAATTCTGTTACGAATTTGGTTTTAAGAATATCCAAAACTATGTTAAATCTGCGAATAAACTCACTGCAAATCACAACTGACACCCATTGCAGTATAATGCACTGGTATTTATATTAAATTACCACAATTGTATAAATATTATCATAATCAGTTAAAGGATAGAACGATCATAAAAGGATAGATAAATGTGCTCAATTTACTTCAAAGGGTGTGACCACTCTAATTAAATTACCACAATTATCAGATGTAATTTCCATATCTTTCTATATAAAGTATCAATATTACGTTACATAGATAGAAATAAATAAAATAATTCATTTAATCAATGAATAGTTTTCCTGCACTACATATTCTTTATTGTCGATAAATATTAATAATATTAAAGCTCTGTAGTTATATAAATAGCTCGAGAAATATAATTCACTGACTAATTTAACCCAGGACAGAATTCATAATATAAAAATATATTAACTATTAATTATTTTTCAAATAAATTGCATTTAATGGCAATCACTGATAGCGTAATCCTGTCTTCTTGTAGAGGAAAGAGATGGTTGACAACGATAGTGATAGTGATGGACAGCATTAAGTTTTACATTCAATTTAACACTACATTTATTTTCACATTTTTATTGAAAGTAAAAACATTTGCAAATATTTATTACATTTAGGATTTAATATCACGAATATTAATCATAGACTGTCACTATATTGCAGTACACTGTATGACTGTTTCAATTTTATTTATCGTTGCATTGCTAACAGACCTATAAATGCAGCAAAATCTCAGGAGGTTTCCTCACAAGTCAGTTAAGTTTGGATATTTAGTAAAACAATTAAAAAACAATGGGTCTGAACCCTAATTCATAAAACAAGCTAAATATTGAATATTGTGTGCTTTAGTAAAATTATTTATTAAAATAATATAAGAAAATAGCTTTTTACAAATAATAATATAAAATTAAACTTTATAACAAAACTAATTTAAATTATTTAATAACAAGTAATTAAACATTATGTTTGAGGCATAAGTTGTTTGAGAAACTCGGATCCATTGTACTATGTTCACCACCGTTATTACTAGACTTAAGGGTAAACAAACCGATCTTTAGATTCGCGGCTATGGAGCCGTATTCACTGCGGAGGCTAGTATTTATGCTCGTGACGAAAGCCTTACTCAAAGATATAATTAAGCAAATCTTTTCGTTGGCTTAAGTTTACAAACTTTCCGCTTAGAAATCGCGAGATCTCTTCGTTTGAGTTCTTTGAATCGCAAACTAATTCAATAAATCGAGTGATAATTGGAGTGAAAGCGCCGCCAAACACATAGGCGCTGTCCTTAGGGTTGCGGACGTCATAGTATTGGCCACTGATTTGCGGAATTAAATTCAATTTCTTAACCGTTTGGCGAAACTTACGAATCGATTCGTTTGACCGAAGCATCAAAGGGTTAGAGATATTCGATCCCATATTCTCCACAATAATTCCCAATTTTTTTTGATTTGCGGAATTAAATTCAATTTCTTAACCGTTTGGCGAAACTTACGAATCGATTCGTTTGACCGAAGCATCAAAGGGTTAGAGATATTCGATCCCATATTCTCCACAATAATTCCCAATTTTTTTAAATTAAAAAATGTGATGATATGGTTGTGTCCATAACTTTGCAAATAAAGTTTGACTAAATTCTTGTAGTCTTTCGATGCGATTCCCGATTGCGTTATAGAATATAAACAAATGAGTCTTAAGGACACAATTGGTCCCAATTGTCGTATTATTCCCTCTTCGATAAACTGAAGACAAGCTTTGGGATCAAAACCTTCGACGAGATTGCGTTCGACAGTCAACTGTTCGGCAAAATTGATGGCTTTCTTGCGATCCATAATTGTCTCGCAGGCGCTGATGTCTAATATAGAAAACAGTAGTGGTTTAGAATTATAAGTAAGTATAGTAGTAATTAATTATTAATGTATTTTATTTGATTTTAATTTACAATTTGAGTGCATTTTGTTCACTAAAGACAACTCAAACGTTAGGAAAGTTAACAAAACTGTGTTTGAGATTCATATCTGTTATATTCATTTGATTGCTTCGGTTATAAATGTCTCGCAGTTTTTGTCCCTTATCTTTGAGAGTGACAAACACTGATGAAAATGCAACATCTTTTATGTCATCAAATATCACATCAGTTAAGAGATTATGTTTAGCAACAGTTTTGTCACTAGTTTTAGTCACTTCGGAACCAAATTCCACTTTTCCTACAAATAAAACCAAATTAATTGTATAATAATTTAGTTAATTAATGGGAGAATTGTTACCACATTTAATTGAAAAGGTTTCGTCGATGACTCCCATATAATTTAATTGAGACATTAGTACAGAAACATAGTCTTCGTCTCGATCTACAAGAATTAGATCTGATATAATGGAAGTGCCGGCGGAAGGCATTTGGTTCGCGTCCGAAGACATTTGCGTTAAATATTCGGACACAATGTTAGCGTATTTGCCTTTAATATAGGCTCTCGGTATGAGACCAATGAGTGATTGCAATTGATTTAGGCTCTTGTTTATGCGGTTGAGTCCACTCTGTTCTCCAAACTTGGATTATAAATATAAATATTGTAATTAATAAAAGTTTTTGATTGCTATAAAACTTAAAAACTCACTAAAAAACTATTGGTATAAAAGTTGGGAAATTCTAACGAAAAGAGATCGACGTCCAGAGGAATGAGACCCAAAGGATAGTCCA